GAGAGAGAGAGAGAGAGAGAGAGAGAGAGAGAGAGAGAGAGAGAGAGAGAGGGCTCCTGCGCCGCTCCTTTTCATCTTGAAAATTAGTTTTTTTGAAACAGTGGCCGTGGCAGGTGTTAAATTTCGAAAAGGCCCAAAAAAAACACTAAATGGCAGTTTGGTCGCAGTGCGAGTTTGGAATGCACAAGAGAAGCAAAAGTAGCCTTTTTTTTTTTTTTTTTTTTTTTTTACTGTTTTCAAACTCAGGCGGTCTGCAGAGTCTGCACACCGTGGGCCACCCCTGTAGATACGACTTCTACGACTGTCAGCCTTATTACAAAGTGACATTCCTCTTTTATTGCTTTTCTTAACCTGGCGCGTCACTGACCTGCAGTGCATGATTTTTTCTCCCATCCGAAACTCAGTTGTGACTGAAGCGTCCTGAGGTGGAGCGCGCGAGGAGGGAGAAGAGGTTAGTGGGGGATGATGGCGTCGAGGTGCCTGACACGGGCAGGGAGAAGAGGGCTCGGCAGACCATGATTGACGAGATGTACGCCAGGGAGAAGTTGGCCGAGTTCACAGACGCGTGGCTTCAGTGGATCTACGTGAATAAGTTGCCATGCAACGCCTTCCGTGGTCCGGAGTTCCAGAGGATGCGGCAGGCAGTAGAGAGAATGCCTCGCTCTATCTTGTTCCGGTTTCCCTCCTACAGGGTTACAGCGGGCGCCGGAATCCCTTTGCAGAGGGCGAAGGTGGCGACGATGGTGAGCGAGGTGTGCGCCAGTTTCCGGCACAGCGGTGCCACTATCCTTTCCGACGGGAGGAAGTCACGCAGCGGCAAGCCGCTCGTGAACTTGCTCGCCGGGGGCGCCAATGGCGCCCTGCTGTACGCCACCGTCGCACGTGACGGGTCGGTCCGAGACACAACAGACGTCGTGTACCGTAGGTGGCGGGCCATCATCTTGTCCTTTCCTGCAAAGGACATGATCGGCTTCTGCACAGACTCCGCCAGTAACTATACGGCGGCAGCGCGCAGGTTTGCCACAGACCCCGAGCCTGACATCAGGAGGATCACATGGCTCCCCTGCTCCACCCATGTCTGCAACTTGATGTTGTCAGATATCGGGACACGAGTGGTGTGGGTCAAGGAGACCATCATCCGCGCTCAAGCGCTTGTGCGATTTATTAAATCGCACGGCGCTGCTCACACCCTGTTTAGGAAGGTGAACCCTCACGTTCAACTCGTCGAGCCCGTTGAGACACGGTTTGCATCGGTTTTCCTAATGCTGACGTGTCTCAAAGGCCGACGAGACGCGTTGGAGAGCATGTTGCACGGGGATGCTTGGGCACGCATCCCGTGGGATCGCGCCCACGTATCTCAGGCGCAGTGGGTGCAGCAGCAGATTCGGGACGGGGAGTTTTGGCAGCGTGTCAAGTACGCCATCCTAGTCATGTCGCCCGTCCACCAGCTGTTGCGCAGGATGGATAGAGGTGGGATGATGATATCCGTCGTTTACGAGTGGAGTTAGCATCTGCTGCAGTTGATGAGGAGGGTGGAGGTGCCGGAGGACATGATCGAGCCGTGCGTGCATGACGTTGCCATCCACAACCTCCACATGCTAAAGCCCGCACATGCCGCGGCCCACCTCCTCAACCCTCGTCGACGGTCCCTCACGTATTACCATTCGCTGGAGACGACCGCCGACGACCGCCGTGTGGTCGAGGAGTGCGACAAATTTCTCCTGGTGCAGACCGGCGACGATCCGGTTGGCTTATTGTACAGGAGCGCGAGGGACCAGATGAGGGCGTTCCACTCGAGGCCAGGGGATTGGGGAGATCGTGACCTCTCCGATGCCGAGGCGGCCGATTCCAGGGGGGACAGCGAGACCGAGCGATGTGCAGCGTGGTGGTTTGAGCATGGACGTGCCCACCCGAAGTTGCACACCATCGCCATCCGTGTCATGCACTTATGGACGTCTGCCTCTCCAGCGGAGAGGAACTGGGTGGAGCACGAGCGCGTCAGCACGGCGAGGCGCTGCAAGCTTGGGTTCGCCAAGCTTGCACAGCTGGTTGAGATTGCCACCAATCTCAAACTGGCCTTGTGCGCATGGTAGGGTGGTGGCTACGTATTGCCATGGGTTATGGGGACCTGTCAGGGGGGGACGGCGACAGAGGAGGAGGATGAGGAGGGAGATGTGGAGCCCGAGGTGTGGGGAGTGCAACCTGATAGCAGTGTTCTCGAGCAGGAGATCCAGCGGCAGATTGTCGCTTTCCGTGACAGCCAACCGTCCAGAGCCCGTTTGGTTCAGGACGTGTTCGGGAGCAGAGCGACGGAGCTGCGACCGTGGCCGGAGGTTGGGGATGATGTGGATGCTGCAGCGGCAGACGACGACATCGACCACTGGACTGACGATGATGACATGCCGCTGAGTCGCGACCCGACGGTTGAGCGAGTGTACTTCACTTACGGTGGGGTTCGTGACGACATGGATTCATTCACATCAGTTATCACTGGTGATGTGTCGTCGACCACGCAGGCGAGTGGCAGCAGCAGAGACGGAAGTGGTCGTGAAGGACGTTTGCATGCGGAGGTTCACGTGGACGACTCGGGGGAGCAGCAGCCACGGGGAGGTCTTCGGCATACAGGCAGGCGTTGGGAGGTTAGGATTGACAGCGAGGCCGAGGGGGAGGCCGAGGATGAGGAGGTGCCCCTTCGCAATCGTCGCTTCTCTCCCTCCCATCATCCGATCTCTGCACAGCCCGAGGCACTTAGGCGTTCGGAGAGGTTGGCGTCGGCAGCAGGCAGAGACCGGACACATGACGGCGAGGATCGTGGGGGGGAGAGGACTCCTTTCGACGCCGGTATCTGCCCCCGCTCGCCGTCGGTGCTCCGCACACAGGACTTCGACGTCGTAGGGCTTGGCGGGAGCTAGGGAGATTTCAATGTCGAGGGACATCGACGTGCCTCACCGCAGGAGGTGCGCACAAATGCGGACGTTGAGCGGGGCCCTGTTGAGACTGAGGAGGAGAGGGATGCCCATTTGGACCGAGAGGAGGAGGAGCAGCTGAGGAGTTTGCCACAGTGGGAGGGTCGGTTCGCATATCTCGACGATCAGCGTCGACAGAGGGACTTGGAGACGGGAGGGGGGGGGAGCCGTGACGTCGACGACTCGGGTGTCCCTGAGGAGGAGGTTCAGGGGGAGTTCGATTATGAGGGGCACGATGCCGCCGTGAGTGGTGGATCAGGTGGTGGACGACGCGGCGACGAGGAGACCGCGAGTGTCCCTGAGGGGCAGGATGTTGTCATGGGCGGTGGGTCCCCTAGTGGGGGCCGTGGCAACAGTGAGACCGTGGGTGATGAGGGACAGGGTGCCGCAGTGTGTGGCAGAGGAGAGGGTGGACCCGGTGGAGATGGGGATACCGCGGGTGTCGGTGGAGACGATGGACAGGACGGCGACGATGATGACGACCACGGTCCCGAGGACGATCCGTATAGGGTCGCCTTGGTGTTGAGCCCCACAGTGCCTCCCTTGCACCGGGAGGACACATCGCACACTTTCCTCGACGTCGACGCTTTGGCGCACGCGTTGACGGATGACCGTTTCGCACACGTGAGCCGCAAGAGCGGAAAGCAGCGGGCCCCTGGGAGGGTATATTCACCGCTGCCGTTCACAGTGCAGAGCCCTCACTGGTCGGGTTCGTCGCTCAGCGGCGTGAGAGGGAGGGACTCCGGTGCGGGTGAGGTGGGGTCCGACAGATGCAGCGACGACGGTAGAGATAGTGCAGGATCGATGCCTCCACCGCCCGCACGGACTCCGGAGGCCAGGGTCGACACCGGGGACACGACGGCGGCACCCGGAGTTGCGCACAGTGGCAGTTCCCCGCCGACAGTCCGAGGTGGTGTGGGTGGCGGATGGTCAGCTGTTCGTCGGGTTGAGGACCGGTTGCGGGCGGATTACGACGCCGGGAGGGGTGTCTTCACGGGACGTACGGCTGTTCAGACGCAGGCTGTGGAGGGTGGGTCCGGACGTCCGAGCCTGCAGATGGCAGGCCGCATGCTTGGTTTGTCACGAGCGGAGACAAGGAGATCATTGGTCCTCGAGGCCGCAGGGACATCCACGGACAGGCTGCGGGGAGAGCAGTTCACATCGGGCGAGGAGGGGTTGTTGATGCGTCCCAAGACGAGACGATAGCATGGCCTCTCGGAGGTTGAGGCTCGACTCGCTGCAGGGGTCGTCGCTGGGCAGGCAGCATTGGACGCGATTAAGAGGGAGAGAAAGGGGGGGGTTGCTGCACAGGTGGAGGAGGACGAGGACGCAAACACTGAGTCCGAGCCGATCAAGACTGCGGCCTGCAGACACAGGGCACAGGTGGCCGCGACGGCTGCTGCAGCACATGCGGCATACGTCAGTGGGGCACGGGGCACAGGTGCCGAAGGGAGAGGAGGGCGTTGGGGAGGACCGCATGGCCGCCCGCACTCCGAGAGAGGCCGCGCGCGCTCTGGTGGGAGATCACGACGTCCGTGGTGTTTTTTTTTTTTCATTAGTTTTTTTTTTGTTTTTCGCGTGCCTGTACAACCTGGACGCTCAGTGGGCAGGTTTGTTGCATATTTATGTTGATGTTGTTCCATGGAGACGACGACAGTATGGACATTAGGGTTTTCTTTTTTTTTTGCTACTCGGTTGTATAGTAGAGACGACGCCCGTCGACGGGTCCAATTTTTTTTTGCTACTCTGTTGTGTAGCAGAGACGATGGGTCCTGATTTTTTTTGCTACTCGGTTGTACAGTAGAGACTACGAGTCCAGTTTTTGGCTTCAGCCTTGTACATACGCATTTCCATTGAAATGCTTTGTCATATATTCGCTCTTGTTCTTGTTCCTCCGCCAACATTGGTCTTGCATCTGAGTCCCTGTTGTTTGGTGATTGTTTTCTGCTCTGTTGTCGTGATTGTTGCAAATTATGTGCTTCTCCGATGCCACGCACCTGCATGTCATGGATGCCTCCATTATGAATGTGCTGTTAATTTCATATGCGACATAGGGATGATGTGCTAATGAATGTGTTCTTACATAAATGATGTGCTAATGAATGTCCATCAGTCTCACGAGTGAACACACACTATGACACACTTGCCTGTTATCATTGTTTGCAATTTGTGGTTCGCCACTCTGTGATTGATTTTCAATGTGTTTTGACATTGGTATGCCAAACAGGGTCTGACTTATGATTGCCATGAATGTGTTGTTTTAAAATATGCGACAAACTGTCATCGCCCTCATGAATGAAACCGACACCTACCTTTCAGTGCATGAGGCCCTGATCCGCCTTGGGTCTGCCATCTCCATCCTCGTCTAGCTTCGACCCGGCCTGGCCGCACGGCCCGCCCCAACCAGGCCCTTGTCCAACCCACGTTGGGCCGCCCCCTCAGGGGTCAAATATATTTTTTTATTTTTCCACTGTTCCAGACCCTCCTCCCTGCGACCCCGCATCGACGAACCTGCACACGGGGGACGCTGGATTTTTCGCGGCCCACCCTTCCAGGGTCTTGTGCAGGACCCCCCCATTTTTTTTTTTTGGTGCCCTGTCACTTCGAGGGGGTGCCCCCCCCCCCCCCCCCCCCCCCCCCCCCCCACCCCAAACCCGTTGCCCGCTTCGAAAACCGCCCCCCAGATCGGCCGACACCGAGSCCGAAAAAACTCKGTCRGGCCGGCCTCGGCCGGGGGGGTCCCGACCTAGGCCGAAACCGGCCGCGGCCAGCGTGCAACATAGGCATTGGGCAATCTTCCTGCTGCGGAAGCTCCCTTTTTGTTCACATTAAAAATGGAGTTAAGGCTTCAAGGGTTCCCTGATTGTTATTTCGATAAAGCGCTCACTAATTTTAATGTTCGAGTGGGCGGTGCTTAGACCAGATGGGTCTCATGCTTCACAAACTGGACCTGTGCCAATCAGGATTGGGTTTTGGTTCGGTCTTCCAGGAATAGTCGGTGGATCTCCGACAGTTAGTGTGTCTGGTTTGGACCTTGGCTGGACGAGTTCCTGGTCTTTCCATTTGGGCCCCGAGATTTTTTGAGCTTGGCCTACGATAAGTAGCTCCTTTCTAGTGGTATTGTTCTTGGTCTGATAGTTACTGCGTCCGGTTTGGACCCTGGCTGGACCAGTTTCTGGTCTTTCCATTGGGCCCGTGTTTTTTTAGCTTGTTGACTCGCATATAAGTAGCTGTGTTGGTCTTTTTTTTTCTTATCTTCCAGCGCCCACCCCTGATGATGGCCGGAGTCTGGCGGCCCGACTGAAACACGTGTAGGGTATACTCCGCCAGTTGAGCTTCAGGAAACGACGCTCGGCGTTCTGGCGCTATGCATCTTCTTTCGTGGTGCTTCACGTTTATTTCAATTGATGCATTCGGGGTTTTTATCTTCATCTTTTCTAGTCGTGTCTGCTGTCTTTCTCTCCTTGCACTTGAGTGCTTGCACTTGTGCGATTGTATGTTGCTGACTTGTAACATGCACGTAGCGAACCGTTGGGGAGGCTATCACCCCGTACGTGTGACTACGATTTTTCTCTGTCTCTCTCTCTCTCTTATGTTTGTTTGTTTGTTGTTTAAGTATTTTTTCTCTCCATCCTCTTCATTATTCCTTCCTCCTTTCCCACTTGTCCTCCTATTTTATGCTGGATTAGATTGGCTGATAGGGTTTTGTGGCCCGTTATTCAGCTTACTGTTGGGACGTCTGTAGTCCCCCTTTCAACATGTATCGTACCGGGGTCTGTCATTGCTGTCAGTTGCCAGGTCATTTTATCCGTGAATGTCCGTTTCGGAACTGCCCACGTGGCGAGGAGATGGTAGCTAGTATCCAAGGGGTTCTTGGGAGCAGCTCGAATGGACTTTTACCGGCACCTTCCACTCAGATGGCCAATTCGGCTAGTACTTCTACTTCTACTGCAATGGTCTCGTACCAAGCCCCAGTGAACAAAGGTTTCAATCCTAACGGAGGCTCCAACAACAATGGCTCTAACGGTTTTCGGAACAACCAAGGATATGGCGGATAGCGTTACTCTAAGCTGTGGGGTGGTGGTAGCAAGGATCGGGATGACCGCTTCGACAAAATCTATGGTCTTCTTGCGGAGCAGGCAGAAGATCGGGAGCAGCGGAAGCAAGAGTTTGCAAAGCTTGAGCTATTGAAAATTGAAAAGAAGAAATTGCAGGCGGAGGAAGAGAAGTGTGCACGGGAGAAGAAGGAAAGAGAACTGCAGGAAGCTAGACTTGGGAAGATTGTGAAATCAAGTATGAAAGTCGTGTGTGAATCCGTTGTAGGGAAGAAGGTAGACATTCCCGATGATGACGAATCGGAGGTTTGTAAGCTTAGAAGGGAGTTGGATGTTCTCAAGGCTCAATGCACGGGAGGAAGCAGGGAATCGACATTGGATGCGCTACGGAAGGAGAAGGAAGCGCTACAAACGGTACAAAATCGATGCAGCGAGGAAGCCAACTTGAGGCATGAAATTGAGGAGTTAAAACTACGGAATGAGAAGCGGAAGCTGGGGGAGGAGTCTGATGAGATCGTCGCCTTGCGTCTACAGATGCAGGAGCTGGAGAAAGTTCGTTTGGTCCTAGATCAGCGCAGCGCGGAGTTGAACACACTCAAATCGGAGAATGCTCATCTTAAGAAGGACGTCCTTGACTTGAAAGGGGTTGTTGATGACATCAAAGACTCCGGAAAGCGCTCAATGGATGATGTTACGGCCAAGAGTCCATCGAGCGAACCTGCGAAAAGTAAGCAGCGTATGGTTCCCATCGGCGATGCTGTGTATACTCTGAAGGATCTGGAGGCGCTACACAAGTTTTACAAGGATCCGGAGGCTCCTGATAAGGAGGTGCAAGTTCTTAAAGAACGCATGGCCAAGATGGGCGCGCAGCTTCTCAGTAAGGGAGTATAGTTTTGCGCAGACCTTCTGCGAGGAAAACTACTCCTCGCAATCTTAAGCCTATCCTTAGTGCCGTAAGGATTGACGAGGTAGATTCTGATGCAGAAGGTAGATTCTGATGCAGAAAGGCAACCCGAAGAACCTCGGAAGACTAAGGCCATGGAGGAAGTTCAGGATGATCCGGAACATGCCGCTCTTTGCAAATTCCAGGATGAATGCAGGAAAGAGCTTCGCCTTGCAAAAAAGTCGGAAATGCAGAGGATATGCGAAGACGAAGGCATTACCTACATCAAACTTGACCAATCCAAAGCTAACGTGGCAGAAAACCGTGCCCGAATAAAGTTCGCTGAGTGGTTGAAATCTCACGGTGTGCAGGACGACGATGATGATGACGCGGATCTGCGCTATGCCACGTCTACGGAGGACGCCACCAGGGAGTGAGGACGCGCCCTGAGCATATCAACTCTCTTGGATCTGACACTGTTCTTGAGAGACTATCATAATGACTTGCCCGAGGACGAGGTCTCTTACCTCTTGCGACTGGTGAATGTGCTATTAATTATCGCTAACCAAATTCGTTGGGGTTTCAAGTTTTCAGAATTGCTGTATAATTTGTTGATTAATAACTATGAATTTCGTAATTGTCCAGGGCCGGTAGTGTATATTCTTATTTCTCCTTGGTTTAAGCATGTATATGTCGGTTGTGGGTCCAGGTTTATCCCCGTCCGTTGGAGAGAGCATATTGCTTCTTCCTTGTCGTCTCGTCTATCCCATCGTAATCGAATATTTGTACTGTTGGTTTCGCAAGGTTGGAGTTCATAGCTACGTTGCCATTCCAATTTTCTATACCACCAACCTTAGTGATTTTCCCCTCGTTGAAAATTTCTTCATCAAATCTACCCATCCTTCCCTTTTTTCTACCGGTAGGCGTGCAAACCGGAAACGACACTGTCGACCTGGTATTTTCCCTTTTTTCTACCGGTAGGCGTGCAAACCGGAAACGACACTGTCGACCTGGTATTAAAGAATGGAAACAGAATCGTTGCGGTCGTTTCCTTCGCCCTCCCCTCGTTACTTCTTTACCTGTCTCCGGTTTGTCTACCTCCATCGCCCGGTGCCTTCCCTCTACCGCTCCGAGTATTTCTCCATTTGTCTTCTCTTTCTCCCTGGGCCACTCCACCTGTAGCCTTATCTCCATTCTCAAGGATGTTTCACTCTGCAAGCTTCCCCTACCTTTTTCTATTCATATCCTCTCTAGTTCTCGTTTTTCTGATAACTGGAAGCTGGTCCGTCGTCTTTTCGGTTCTTCCACCGTCACTACTTCTTCCTTTCTTGTCTCCCTTCTTCGGCATTGTCGATCTTGGTTCTCACCCCTCGCTACCATCACCTTTCACTTTGTCGCCTACTTCTGTTCCGGCTCCCTTCCCATTAAGAGTGATCTTGTTCGCTTTCTTCCCACCCCTCACTCTAGGCGGGAACTCTCCTCCTGCGATCTTGACTATTTAGTTTCCTCATATGACTCTGTCCGCACCATCTCCAACAAAGTTTAATGCTCTCGTACTACTCTTCGACTCATTCTCTCCCAAGCCTGTCGACGTCGGTTTAATCTTTGTCTCTCCGCTCGTCTTACGATCCGCATTACCTTTGACTCTCATCTGGTCAAAACTGCCATCGGACAGATCTGTAAGCAATTTATCCTTGGTCTCGATTTTCCCTCCTCGTATCTGCGATCTATTTGTTCGCGTTTTTAGGTGGTTTGGACCAGGAATAAATCTGTGGGTGATATTCTTCATAATTTTCGACATTTTGCTGCTCTGCCCGAAGCCTATTGTGCCTATCTACACTCCAATGTGAGGTTTCCACGTGTGAATGATCATGTTGCCTTCCGTTTTAGTCAGGTTGACTTTCTCCCTCCTGGCCTACTTAACTCCAAGAATATAATTAGTCCTGATTATTCCTCTGATATGGGTACGCTTAGGTCTCAGATCGTTAATTCTTTGGAACAATTCTTTGGTATTAAAACAGGAATCTATGTTCCATCTTTAGTTAGCTGTTTTTCGGCCGGAACTGTAGGATGTTTAACTGAAAATGATATTCGTTTGGCAAAGGGTGTGTTTGACGGACTTGTCCTTGTTCCTTTGGATCACAACACTGGCGACACTTATGTCTGCTGCCCGCTTATTTATGCAGGAGGGGTTCGTAAGCTTTTCGTTGACAATCCGAGTATGCGGGTTCTGACTGATCATGAACGCACGATCTTGCTCCGATGCAAGGAGGAGTACAAGATACAGAAGTTGACGCAGTTAGCTTCTTGGGCATCTTCTGGTCTCTTGGGACGGTCCTACGTTATACCCAAGCATAAGGATGTCAACAAGTGGCATCCAATTTGTCCTTCTTGGAGTGAGCCTTATCGCCGAGCCGCTCGGATTTCCTCCCTCTGTATCAATGAGTTTCTTATAAGACTTTCTGGCACCTGTCATTTTAACCTACGTAGCACTTCCCTCCTACCCTCCTTTGTTTCCCGTATTAATAAAAATATTCGTAGTAATGAGGATATACTTGCAAGTAGCTTTGATGTTAAGGAAATGTTCTACCAACTTCCCCATTCGTCTATTATATCCGCTGCAGAATGGGCTGTGAGTGTTTTTGAGGAGAAAGTTTTTTGCAAATGTTTGGTCAACGTCCGGAAAAAAACTGTTCGACTTTGTAGGACAGCGTGTTCTGAAGTAGGTTTCAAATCGGTTCGGTTCTCACTTCTTGTTAGATTTATAGCCTTCGATCTTGAACGGACTTTTACGATGTCCATGGGTAAAGTTGTTCAACAGCATCTGGGCATTCCGATTGACAAATCGTCAAGCCCTGCTTTGGCATGTCTACTTTGTGTCCATAATGAAGCTTCCTTTATGCGCAATCTTGGTAATGACGCCCGTTTGGTATACGGATGTAGACTAATCGATGATGTGTCCCTGTTCGTTAAATTTAAGGCTTCGATGCCTAGTTCGAAATCAACTGCTTTGATGATTATGAGTAAGTTTGCACGCGACTGTTATGATAAGCATTTAACTTTGGTGAAAACTAATGATGGAAGTCAGTGGCCCTACCTTGGTTGTAGGATTTTTGTTGGAGCTGACCCTGTTCGGGTTTACTGTCAGGCTTTACACAAAAATCCCGAGAATTTGTTGAATGGAAAAGGTTTGGTTTTCCAAAATCTTCAGGATTTTTGCTCGTTTACTAGCAAGCAGCAGAAGTTAGTTGTTATTTCATCCTTCCTGCATAGAGCTTATGCGTTGGGCAATCTTCCTGTTGCGGAAACTTCCTTTTGTTCACATTAAAAATGGAGTTAAGGCTTCGTGGGTTCCCTGATTGTTATTTCGATAAAGCGCTCACTAATTTTAATGTTCGAGTGGGCGGTGCTTGGACCAGATGGGTCTCATGCTTCACAAACTGGACTTGTGCCAACCAGGATCGGGTTTTGGTTCGGTCTTCCAGGAATAGTCGGTGGGTCTCCGACAGTTAGTATGTCTGGTTTGGACCTTGGCTGGACCAGTTCCTTGTCTTTCCATTTGGGCCCCGAGATTTTTTTAGCTTGGTCTACGATAAGTAGTTCCTTTCTAGTGGTACTGTTCCTAGTCTGATAGTTAGTGTGTCCGGTTTGGACCCTCGCTGGACCAGTTTCTGGTCTTTCCATTGGGCCTGTAGCTTGTCGACTCGCATATAAATAGTTGTGTTGGTCTTTTTCTTTCTTATCTTCCAGCGCCCACCCCTGATGATGGCCGGAGTCTGGCGGCCCGACCGAAACACGTGTAGGGTATACTCCGCCAGTTGAGCTTCAGAAAACGACGCTCGGCGTTTCGGCGCTATGCATCTTCTTTCGTTATGCTTCACGTTTATTTCAATTGATGCATGTGGGGTTTTTATCTTCATCTTTTCTAGTCGTGTCTGCTGTATTTCTTTCCTTGCACTTGAGTGCTTGCACTTGTGCGATTGTATGTTGCTGACTTGACTTGACTAGAAAGCCGGCAGGTTGAGCGGCATCATGCAAATTATTGCATCTTTGAAGGGCACATCACAATTTTTTCGTAATATAAGTTGTTGGGACTCTGAACCACCGGTGGGCTGACACTACGGTAATTATGCCTGTATAGGAATGTACGTTCTATTGCAGGGCAAACTACCCGGCACTCCCCTGCCTGTCTTTATTAGGAAAACTAGGTCGTTCATTTTCCCTCAGCAATGGTCCAAAGACTCCAAATATTTTGATCCAATTTAAAGGAAAAAGATGAGAAAAACCTGTATTTGTTTGCTTCTCAATAACTCGAACAGCGTGCGTCACCTTGAAAGACAACGGTCTTAAAAAAAAAAAAAAAAAAAAAAAAAAACGGTCGCTTCATTCATCCTGGCCACACATCTCCCTCATCTCGAAAAACTTTTGAGAGTGCACCCAATTTCCAGGGCTGAGGTCCCACTAGCAAAGAGGATCGGATCGAATGCCTGAATCTGGATGTGTTTTATGCTGAATGCAGAAAAGCAGTTCAATGTCGATTTCCTGCACCTCTCAACAAACACGTCCAAATTCGGGCATTCAATCCGATCCTCTTTGCTAGTGGGACCACGCCCAAGGACAGGGAAAATAGAGATTGTAAGGATTTTTTATTATTATTATTATTATTTTTAATTAAGAGGATTCCACATTGCACTCTGGAATAATTGAATTCGGGATTTGAGGGCGATTTGTTTTCGGAAAAGTCATCAAACCTCCCCGCGATGACACCTTTGTATCCATTTCCCCCCAAACGGGGAAAAAAGTGCCTCCGGTCCCAAAATCACTTTTTTTTTTTTGTGTCATTATTGCACCCTGGGCAAGGTCCCACTTGCACGGGATTACGAGATTCTGGCAGTTGATCTTTGCTATCTACGGTCAATATCGCGTAATTTGTTTACGTGGGACCTAGCCCCCGGGCAGGGATGGTCAATATATAACTTAATTCGTGTAAATGGGACATAGCCCCCGGGCATGCTGTCACTGTAACGACCTCTATGTAAAAATGGGGGGAAACTGTTTTGCAGGGT